CTTGTGCTAGAGGTGGCACTTTAATTGAACAATGGATGAAAAACCCTAGCAATCCTAGTGCAACTTTTTACCAGAATTTCATTGAACGAATTAAAACATCAGAAAAAGAAGGTGGAGTTGTGCGTGCTTTGTTTTGGTATCAAGGAGAAAGCGATGCGGCTATGAATGACACCGCTCAAAGATACAAAGACAACTTAAAGACGTTCATCACTGACATCCGCAATGATATAAAACCTAGATTTTTACCGGTCATTATTGTTAAGATATCCCTTTATGACTTTTTTATGAAGCACGATACTCATAACTTGCCGGCAGTGAGAGCAGCTGAAGATGCAGTCCAAAAAGAGCTTCCAGACATCATTACTATCGACTCTCGGGAGTTGCCTGTAAACTTTACCACATTTGAAAGCTTTTCGTGGGATCATGGTCATTTTAATACGGAAACAGAGATTGTTTTGGGTAAATGGTTGGCCGACACATATCTCGCCCACTATGGTCATTTATTTTGATCTTATTATCTGTCATTCTCTAATCTCTATGGATTGATCTATTATTCTATCTTAATAAAATCATTTAAATCATTTCTATCTAAACCTTAACATACTTAATACAAGGTAGAAGTGGTTGATTGCACCAATTAAAAACAAATAATACCAAATTTAATATTTGGTCTTGAAGTAGAAAGCGTTCCATCGGTTCTTGAATAGTAGAAAGCGTTCCATTTATATCATCATTTATAGTCCTTATCTTGGTGGAAGATATTATTTCTTGAAACTGAGATTTATTTGTTAAGTACGTAATTCAACGAGAAATTATCTTACTTCTCAATTTCTAATGAATCAAGATAACCATTGGTTCGGAGAGGTATTTATAAATGAAAATGGTTTAAAATTTTATTATAAAGTAAGAAAAAGGATTAAAATATAAGGACTATAAATCCTAATAAGCAAAATTTTTAGTATAAAACAAATGACAAGACAAACTATCAGCTAGGTTATTATTGTGTATTGCTTGACATCGGTGAGTCAAGACCCTTAACCAATCGATTTGCTCTTAAGTAACTTTATTTTCAATTCATGATATAAATGACCTCCAAATATCATGTAACTTTATATCAGAGTCTAAACCAAAAATTAGGGAGAAATGACCAAAATGTCCTTAGAACTCTTTATGATATTAAGGCTTAAACATCTTCCAAATGATAACTTTTTGTAATTTGTAAGGCCTCTTTGTAAGGAAATAAAGATATATTCAAAAATTTTCAGTTGTTCTAAGACAAAGATGGAATCTAAACCAAGTTAGGGCATACGGATATATTCAAGATTTTCATGAACCTTCTAAAATTTTCTAAAAAACAAATTAAAATTAATTTTCTAAAAAACAAAGGCGGGTGAAACATCAAAGGCGGGTAGCTCTAGGAGCACCCTAATTGTTGAAAACATGTACAAGGACAGGGATCCCGAGGAATTGTTCCCAAGAGGAGTATGTGGTTTGATACGTCTTCATCATCCATAGGTTGATGTGTAACGAGCGGATGTTAGTAGTCATGGGTCGGTAGAATTACGAGAGAATGTAAGAATAGAGAGAAAATCGGAAATATCACAAGAATTGAGAGAAATCTCTCATTCTATGAAATTGACTATTATATAGCATTACATAATACACGGAACACAAGGAAATCTAAATCAAATAACTAAAATCTAAATCAAACCTAACAATTCCTCCCTGAACACAAATAGTAATACTCAAACCTAACAATTCCTCCCTGAACACAAATAGTAATACAAATAGTAATCTATTTATATCTACGTCAGACTCCTCAAATTCAAGAAAGCATCTAATTTTAGTGGTATGGTCATCACATCAGCTAACTGTTCCGGTGTGCCACAATGCACCAACTCCACAGTGCCAGCCTTTGTGAGCTATTGAAGGAAATGGAAACGCACATCTATGTGCTTATTCCGACCGTGCATTACTGGGTTTTTTGAAAGCTTGATAGCAGAGCTACCATCACAACGAATAATAGTTGACTTGTCTTGATTCTGACCCAGCTTTTCCAACACCCTTTTTAATCATAGCCTGACATGCACATGAAGCTGCAGCTATGAATTCTGCCTATGTGGAAGATAGACTTACTATTGGTTGTTTCTTTGACGACCATAATACTGCTCCAGAACTCAATAAGAACACACAGCCTGAAGTACTCTTTGTCTCATCCAAATCTCCAGCGTAATCACTGTCTGTGTATGCAACAAAATCATCATCTCCTCCCTTCCGATAGAAAATTCCAAGCCCAGATGTTCCCTTCAAATATTGTAGTACCCTTTTTGCTGCCGGTAAATGAGGCTCAGTGGGATTCTCCATATATTTACTAATCAAACTCGCTACAAACATTATGTCTAGTCGAGTTGCTGTGAGATAATTAAGACTGCCTACAACTTGCTTGTAGTAAGTTTTGTCCACGTTTATTCCATCTTCATCTTTCATAAGTTTGCATCCCGGGACAATAGGATTATGAACACAATTACTTTTGTCCATTCCAAACCGTTTCAGCACCTCCAAAGCATAGCTCTTCTGACTTACAAAAATATCACTAGAATTTTGTAAGACTTCAAGGTCAAGAAAATACCTCATCTTATCAAGATCTGTCATGTCAAACTCATTTTTCATGAAATTTTGAACTCTGTAAACATTAATTCATCATTTCCAGTAAACGTGAGATCATCGACATAGAGACTTACAATTAATACTTTGACTTCTTTTCCTCTTTTGATGAACAAAGTATGCTCATAGTCACACTTCTCAAAACCTTCCGTCATAATATAGGTTTCTATACGGCTGTACCAAGCACATGGAGCTTGCTTAAGCCCTTAGAGTGCTTTCTTTAACTTGTAAACCTTCTGCTCATGTCCCTTTCGCACATATCCACAGGGTTGCTCCACAAAGACCTCTTCATTTAAGTCACCATATAGAAATGTAGATTTCATGTCCATCTGATAGATGGACCAGCCTCTTTGAGCTGCAAGTGCTACCACCAAACGAATTGTCTCCATGCGCGCAACAGATGCAAATACTTCAGTATAGTCTACCCCATGCTGTTGAGTATACCCCTTTGCTACAAGCCTAGCCTTGTATTTGTCGACTTCCCCATTTTCATTGAATTTCGTCTTATAAATCCATTTTACTCCAACCTTCTTTCCGCCCTCAGGTAACTCCATCAATTCCCATGTGTCATTTCTGTTTATTGCTTTCATTTCCAGATTCATGGCTTGCCTCCATTTCTCACTCTTCAATGCGTCTTCAAAGTTTACAAGATCAGTAGTGGTAGACATGACCAAGTGAGCTTCATTATCTTCTTCAGAAAGATCTTCTCCTGTTTCATAGTCTCTCATCCAAACTGGTGGTTTCCTATTCCTCCCATTATTCGAGCTAGGAGAGCTTGCTTCAGCCAAAGAGCCAGAGAAAATATTTTCCTCTGCAGCTTCTATATCAGATTCGCTCCTTTCTTCATTTTCGTCACAAAACATCTGTTGCCTCCTCTTGATCACCCCATTCTAGATCCCACATAATGGATTCTTCATAGGTCTTACCCAGTCCCAACTCTTATCTTCCTCGAATACAACATCCTTACTTATTATGATCCTTTGTGAAGTTGGATCATAGAGTCTGTAAGTCTTATACTTTTCACTAACTCCCAGCAAAACACAACTCAAACTCTTATCATCCAACTTAGTTCTTTTACTGTCAAGCACATGAACATGAGAAATACATCCAAAAACTCTAAAATGCTCAACCGAAGGTTTGACTCCACTCAAAGCTTCTTCTGGAGTTTTATTTTTAACAGCCAATGTTGAATTTCGATTTAGTACATGCACAGTCCAGTTGACTGCTTCAGGCCAGAAACTTTTCGAAATTTTCTTTTATAAAATCATACTACGAACCATATTCATAATAGTTCTATTTTTTTGTTCCGCAACTCCGTTTTGCTGTGGTGTGTATGCAGCTGTCAGTTGTCTTTGTATACCATTTACATCACAAAAATTGGTGAATTCTTGTGATGTAAACTCTCCTCCTCGATCAGTTTGTAAGGCATTAATAAATGAGTTTGTTTCCTTCTCAACATGAATTTTAAAGTTTTTAAATACAGCAAAGGTTTTTGATTTTTTATTAAGAAATAAACCATGTTTTTCTGCTAAAGTAATTTGTGAAAGTAATCAACTCCCTTTTCTTGTGGTTTGTTTTTGTTGTTTTCCCACCAGACAATTTTTACATAGTCTCAATGTTGACTTGAGTTGTGGTAAACTATCCACCATTCCTTTCTGAAGAGTCTTTAATCCCTTAAAGCCCAAATGTCCATATCTACGGTGCGAGAGTTGCTCAATATCTTTTGTGATTGTATTGAAACATGTGAATGCTACAGGCTGAGATATAACATGCAGTACGAACATTCGATTCGAAGACATCTTTGTCTCCATGATTAAACCTCTTCTAGGATGAAACACCTTGCACGTTCCATTTTGAAACAAAATGGTAAGCCCCTTTGCTTGCAATTTCTCGATACTCAACAAATTGTTCTTCAGCTTGGGCACATTGAACACTCCTGTGATTATCTGTATGCTTCCATTCCCTTCAGCCGTACATTACCCTTTCCTGTCACAACCCTACTTGAGTTGTTGCCCAGCTTCACTGAATCTCTGAAGCTTCCATCAAAATCTGAAAAATATTCCTTCTTCCCACACATATGATTGCTACATCCCAAGTCAAGGAACCACATATCTTCTCTATTGGCCCTTATTCATATTCACGTAAGCCATCAGCAACATCTCTTCTTGAGTCTCTGCATAGTTTGTCTCCTTCTCCTTGCTTTGACATTCCCATTGAAAATGTCCTAGCTTGTGACAATTATAGCACTCCACTATGGCTCTGTTGAAGGTTTGTCTGTCTCATCCCCTTCTTCTACCTCTAAAACTTTCACGACCTCGACCCCTTCCTCCAGATTGTTAACCATGAGTGATCTTCAAAGCGTATTCTTCTTCAAAATGAGAACTCATGCGTTGTTCATGCACAAGCAGGCTGCTTTGCAACTCATCAATGGTTAAGATGGTTGTATCCTTGGACTCCTCAATGGAACACACAATATAATCAAACTTGGCAGTCATAGATCTCAGAATCTTTTCAACTACTTCAACATCTTCTTTGTTCTCACCATTTAGATTCATCTTGTTGGCTATGCTAAGGGTCCGAGCAAAATACTCATTCACAAAGTCTCCTGCCTTCATGTGAAGCATTTCAAACTCCTTCTGAAGAGCTTGCAAATGTGCACGCTTTACCCGTGTCGAACCTTGATATTTCTGCTTCATAGAATCCCATATGTTCTTTGCTATATCCTTGTTGAGGATTGTCTCCAAGATCGAATGATCTAATGCTTGAAATAGATAATTCTTTGCTTTCAAATCTTTCAACTTCTGATCTTCAATGTGCTTCTTCGGGACATCTGTGAAAACGATGTCTTTTGTTGCTACAAGAATCCCATTCTCCACCAAACCCCAGTACTCTTTTGAACCCAAAAAGTTTTCCATGAGCATCGCCCAATGATCATAGTACCCATCAAATTTTGGAATTGCAGACTGCACAAATGAACTCTCCATCGACATACTTTTATTACGACACACGTAGAAGACTGTTTCTTCTGGTTTTAAGACTATTGCTTCTGGTTTTAATTTGGCTAAGTCTAGGACATGGCAAACTGGAAATATGGTAAGAATGGGGAGAAATCTCTCCTCCTATCCTTTTGAATGAAATTGGCTATTATATAGGGTTACAGAATATACGTAAACAACTAAATCTAAATCAAATAACTAAATCAAATCTAATTCAAATAACTAAATTAAATCTAAATCAAACCTAATAGAGAACGTCATACTCTTGTAATTGGGCATTAGAACTTTTGAGAACGAAAGTTTTTAAGGAGGGGAGAATTGTAACACTCGATACGAGAAATTTAAAACCTGATTTTTCCTTTAAAGTCGAACTTCTGAGATTTTATTAAGATTCTTAGAGACTGAATTTGTAGATGAGGTAGAAGAGAAAAATGCTTACATAAATCTTAAGTGACCCGATTGTTCGGGTTAGAAAATGTATTCACATATAACATGTATCATCATTAGTGGGACCTAATTCCTTGGGCTCTACTTCCTCTTCCAAGTAGAGTTGGATGCATAATACTTCTCTACACATGGATTACACACGTCTGCATGAATCCACTATGTCAGCTAGCTAACATTCCCCTTAGGCCTGACTATGGACTAGTTCACATTCACACTACTGAAAACCGACAGAAAAGAAAGAAACACGAATAATATTGCATGTATGAGGTCCCATTAAACATGTACGAGATCCCAATTAAAAATCATCGTTCAATGAAACGATGGATATAATACTATTGTATTAGTCATGTTGTAAATTCTATACGAGACGTATATACATATTCATGGTGTTTCATTCATTCTTATCATACATGATACGTCATAGTGTCTCAAAGGGCATAAACATGGTCACATCAACATAGCAGTCTTAATCAAAGATAAAAGAAATTACATACATATATCATATTGTTCATTCATATCACATAACATAAATAATAGCACATAAATAAAGCCACATAGTACATGTGATTGATGCATAAAAAAGCTCATCAAATATAGCTCGTTGACGGTTTAGGCTCTCCTTGGTACTCTTAAGCTCGCTCTGGTTGAATGTTCCTAGGTTCAATTACTTGGTTTAAGTTAACCTACAATCTTTTATTCTATTGAAAAACCCTAATATATTTTAATGTCAAAAGATCTCATCTTTTATTCTATAGAAAAAGGCATGTGAGACAAGATTGATGAAAAAAAAAATGGTTGAAGTTTTATTTGTATGCAACTAAATATAGATATATTAGATAAATTGGGTGTGATCTAAGATAATTAAGATCGAAAAATACTCCTATTCACAAATATTGACTGATTGAAATTGATTTTGAAACTTAAATAATACTAAAATTAGAATCAAAATTAAGTATAAAAAGTGAGGATGGAAGGAATGAAGAGACATAGATCAATTATAAAATAGAAGAGGGAGTGATAAGAGTTTTACCGGAGAGTAGTTGTGTCTGCAAATAGACGCAAAAAAAGTTATCAGCTTTTTATTCATTTGTGTCTATTTGCACGGACACAAGGGTCAAAATGGTTTTGCTGAAACTATCAATCTTGTTGTGTATGATATTGTTTAGCCCTTCCCTTTCAGGGGCTACTTCTCCCACAAACATATTCATCCTTGCCGGTCAGAGCAACATGGCTGGTCGAGGTGGGGTAGAGAAAAATCAAAACGGCGAACTTGTGTGGGATGGAAAGGTCCCATTAGAGTGTCAATCCGACCCATCCATCCTACGGTTGAACTCTGAGCGCCAATGGGAGATAGCACATGAACCTCTCCATTTGGGGATTGACATCGGCCACACTCCAGGGATTGGTTTGGGAATACCGTTTGCTCACCAGTTGAAAGAAAAAGCTGGACAAAAGGCAGGCACCGTGGGTTTAGTTCCTTGTGCTAGGGGTGGCACTTTAATTGAACAATGGATTAAAAACCCTAGCAATCCTAGTGCAACTTTTTACCAGAATTTCATTGAACGAATTAAAACATCAGAAAAAAAACCCTAGCAATCCTAGTGCAACTTTTTACCAGAATTTCATTGAACGAATTAAAACATCAGAAAAAGAAGGCTAGCAATCCTAGTGCAACTTTTTACCAGAATTTCATTGAACGAATTAAAACATCAGAAAAAGAAGGTGGAGTTGTGCGTGCTTTGTTTTGGTATCAAGGAGAAAGCGATGCGGCTATGAATGACACTGCTCAAAGATACAAAGACAACTTAAAGAAGTTCATCACCGACATCCGCAATGATATAAAACCTAGATTTTTACCTGTCATTATTGTTAAGATAGCCCTCTATGACTTTTTTATGAAGCACGATACTCATAATTTGCCAGCAGTAAGAGAAGCTGAAGATGCCGTCCAAAAAGAGCTTCCAGACATCATTACTATTGACTCTTTGGAGTTGCCTATAAACTTGACCACATTTGAAGGCTTCTCCTGGGATCATGGTCATTTGAATACCGCAACTGAGATTGCTTTGGGTAAATGGTTGGCTGACACATATCTCGCCCACTATGGTCATTTACTTTGATCCTATTACGTGTCATTATTTAATCTCTATTGATTGATCTATTACTCTATCTCAATAAAATCATCATTTAAATCTAATATTTGTGGAGATTTCTTATTTAAATAATTAAAAGTAATCAAATTTTGTTTGAATAACGAAACAAAATAAAAATTTGATAAATAATTAAATTTTGATTGAATATCGAATGAATTCAATGCATCCTCTTTAGTAGAAAGACGGACATTCCTTGCTCATTATGAGACAATCAAAGACGGACATTCCTTGCTCATTATGAGACAATCAAAGACGGACATTCCTTGCTCATTATGAGACAATCAAAGACGGACATTCCTTGCTCATTATGAGATAATCAAAGACGGACATTCCTTGCTCATTATGAGACAATCAAAGACGGACATTCCTTGCTCATTATCAGACAATCAAAGACGGACATTCCTTGCTCATTATCAGACAATCAAAGACGGACATTCCTTGCTCATTATCAGACAATCACTTATTCACAAACATCGTGTGAGGCTAATAGTTTGAATTTCCCATCTCATGGAAAAAAAAAATTTCGCTCCGCTTAGCCCTATTCCCCGTAGGTGTATTTTAGTGATGTGATAGGTTCTATAGCAACTTAGGTGACAAACTATCAATCAACTATCTTGCTTAATTCACTTAATAAAAGAAGAGCAAAATCCCTATTTCGCCTTATGGATTTTTCTAATATTTTCAAAAAATTGCGGGTGATTCTCAATAACCAACCAAGGGTAAAGAATTTTTTGATTTTTTTTTTTATTTTCTGAATAATAATAATATATTTAGAAAATGGAAAATTACTAAAATACCTTGGAAAATTAGATCCAGTAAAATTCTAGTGTCTTTTCGTTTTCGATAGTTGGATCTTCACCAACCTAATCTTCGAACCACTTAATTAAAATTGTGTTAATATTTTTTCAATTTGAATTGAATTTTTAAAACAAATTAAAATAAATTGTGAGTTTGCATGTTGATATTTTTTTAATCGCATATTGAATATTTAACTTTGGTAAAAGTTTTGACTTATAAATATTTGATATTTTAATTATATGAGATTTTAATTATTAATATAATATATGTAATCGAACCCAAAAAATAAAATGTTAGATTGAGTTGGGTGGTGAACTCGATTATTCAGGTCACTAACCCAATCAACCTAAAATCGGTTATTTCGGTTGGGTATCATGCCCCACCAATGAGTTGCCAAGTGCCCCTAGCCTATGTTAGATCTTTCTTTTTCTTTATCAAATTTTTTTTCCTTCATTATTTCCTTCATAATTCTTGAGAGTAATATATTGATATGAATGTAACGGCCCAAACCCACCGCTAGCCAATATTGTTATTTTTGGGCTTTCTCTCTCGGGCTTCCCCTCAAGAGATGAGCATGAGACATTAGTAGCAACTTTGAGTATGTGAAAATTTAGTGTCGGTATTAGAGCTCTAGGTTTTAGATTCTGTAGACTAGCCTATAATGTAGGTTTGACACATTCTATGGTCCCAACATCGATGGCCCGTCATCGTCAAGTACGCCTTGCACAAGATTAGAAAAGAGAAACATTTTCGAACTCTGCATGCATTTTTCTGTTGATATTACTGAAATTTTTGTGATATTTCATGTATTTATTATAGAGTATGATGTGATTTGTTGCATGTTGAGTGATTTTGTTTGCAATATAATGTGACTTTAGTATATGTATTTTTAATAGTATATATGCATAGTGATGAGCCTTAGACTTAAGAGATACTATCTTGGTTTCTAGAATCATGCTGCCTAGACCACGGGAAAGAGTAAGACGAGGAAGGGGACAACCCCTACTAGAGGAAGAGGATGAGGTGAAACTGAAGAGGGCCAGCCTCGAGGTTAGAGACCGGGTTCGAATTAGAACCCTAGTAATTAAGGATAGAGTAAAGAATGACCAAGCAATATTAGCAAACCAAACTCTAAGCATACACCTAATACTAGTAAAGATGACCGATTTCGACGTAATACTAAGCATGGATTGGCTAGCAGAAAGTCGTGCTGGTATAGACTGTCATAAAAAGAAAGTGGTATTCTCACCACTGGAGGGTCCTAACTTCGAGTTTAAAGGCACAAGTACCGGGACTACTCTAAAGGTAGTCTTGATGATGAAAGCAAAGAGATTAGTCTAACAAGGTGGTCGGGCTATATTAACATGTGTCGTAGAGGTAAGAGGAAAAGAAAAGTCCCTAGGAAACGTACCAGTAGTAAATGAGTTCCCG